TATTAATAGGTGAGATGGAAGAAACCTGAGTTTGGTTGGGTGAAGCTGATCGTGGACGGTTCCCGTGACCATTACAATGATCTCTCTGCGGGTTGTGGTGGGGTTTTAAGGGATGCATGCGGAACGTGGCTCCTTGGCTTTGCCAAAAAGCTGGATCCCAGCACCAATGAATCGCACCAGACAGAGTTAGAAGCCATTCTCACGGGGTTGCAACTGGCCAAGGAGTTGAAAGTAGAGAAACTTGTTGTGGAGTCAGACAGCGACTACGTGGTGAGAATGGTGGAGAATGGGCTTGGGCTGAAGTTAGAACACCCAGATTATGTTATCGTTCAACAGATAATGGCGCTTCGTTTTGATTCTAAGTGGCAAGTGACGTTGGTTTCTGTTCCAAGGACCGCTAATAGAGTTGCTAATCAACTCGCCAATGGTGCTCGTAAGTTTTTTTCTGATTCTCTGCGCAAGTACCCTTTTCCTCCGGAAACCTGTACCCAGTTATTGTTGGAGGATAATGGCCATGGTGTTTGAGGTCTCAGCCCTTCGTTAGAAGAACAATGAAAGCAAATGCATGATATATGAAACTCGATGAACTACGTGAATTTGCTACTGTTGAAAGTTAAGTGCGTTAATTTCGTTTGCTAGGTTTATTTGCTGTATTGATGACATTGAGTTGTCTCTTGGGAAGTATTTGTGGGTTTGGTTTTATTTCAAGTTTTTGTTTCTGTTTTGTTCTATCAACAATGTTTTCTATTTGAGTTTGCTTGCATGTACTAGTGAACTTGTTGCTGGTATAAAGAAATTTGAACTTGCTTCATCTTTCTAATTTTGAAAATTGAAAGGAAAGACGACATTGGATAGAAACCAAAGCAACTTTCTTTGTTCCAACATTTTTCTTTCATAAAACTATACATAATTTTTTTTTTATGATTAGATAGAATAATGTAGAATATACACTGCAACCGCTTATTAAGTGTACATTCTACACTTAATTGTCAGACTATAATTTTCCTTGAGAAAATAATATTGGATAAATTTTGACTTTGATTGAGAGAATAAATACATGCTCTTCAAGTTATATAATTTTACAAACATAACAAATATCGAATTATATTTTTATTTTATAGTTTAAAAATTAATAATAAGGATTTTGTTCATAACTGGGATACCAACACATATAACTCAAATAAGATCACTGCTTATTAATGTCATTATAACTCAAATATTTTTATTATATTGTAATATTAAATATTATAATATAGTCAAATACCCTCTATTTCTTACAGCATTTGACATAAAAAATTAGTAATTATTATTTTTTATTTATTTTTGTTTTCATGTACGTTTTTTCCCTAATAATTACACACTATATATATTGGAATGCAGAGTGTTTATAACTTCGTCAATATCAATTTTAAAAAACTTGAAAGTACTATTATACCCACCTTTTTTCAGAAATATACACTTTTCAACTGAACAAATTACAACATTCACACAACTTATTTAAAATAATAATAATAATAATAATAATAATAATAGTAATGTGATAAAAAGTAAATAAAAATTGTTACTAAAGTAATATATTTCAATATATTTTATTATTAAAGAAAGAAACTAGGTTGGCTTTTCAACTAGAAAAAAAGAAAGAAAGGAAGTTATTATCATGTAATTTTCTTGCTCTCTTTTAGAAATTTTTAAATTCAGATATTCACAAAACTTATTAAATAAGATTTGTCCATCGTAAATTATATAATCGATTCCTTTAAACAGAGCCTAATGTTTGAATTAAATAGACAGAAAAATTCATGACTAAGAAAGAAGATGATAAATGTTTGGTACTAAGAACATGGTTAAAGAAAAAAAGTTATAATATTAAATAAGAAAAGAACGTTGATGACTGGATACAGAAAAAGAGAGCAAATTAAGTGGGGTTGGGAAAACAATAATGAAATTCCTGTGTAACAAGGAAAGGGAGAAAAATATATGGAACCTTAGAACCGAAGGAAACGTCATATCATAGATAAAGTTTTTCTTGAGTATAAATTCCACCCCGAAATTCTTCCTCATCAAACCAACAAAGCAAACAATCCAAACAAACTCGTTCATTTGCAGCATCAAAATGAGTGACAGCAACGACGGTAGCGGAAGCAGCTGGACCTCTAGGTTTCTGAAATTGGCCAGTGCCGCCGCCACCGCCGCCGCCGTAGCCGGCGGTTTATATGCCGTGCTTTCATCATCCTCTGCTAACTCTGAGCATGAAGTACCGTTCGGCGCAAGGCGTGAGAGCGAAGAACGTGACGATCGTGACCCTTGGTCGATCAAGCAGGTTAATTATGACATAAATATATGGTTTGTTATTAAAAATAGGAGTGATAAAACGTGTATTATTTTAGTCTTACAAATTGAAAAAACATAATTTTAGTCCATAAGTTGATTATATAAAGACTGAAAATTATTTTGAAAAACAATAATTTATAAATTGACAGGAGAAATGGGAGAAACCTGAGGATGGTTGGGTGAAGCTGAACGTGGATGGTTCGCGCGAGCATTACAATGGTCCCTCTGCAGGCTGTGGCGGGGTTCTCAGGGACTCATCAGCAAAGTGGCTGCGTGGCTTTGCTCAAAAACTGAACCCCACTTTCAAAGTGCATCAAACAGAGTTACAAGCCATTCTCACAGGCCTCAAAATCGCTTCAGACATGAACATTAAGAAATTGGTTGTTGAGTCCGACAATAAATCCGCGGTGAGCATGGTGGAGAACGGGGTTCTTCCCACTGACCCTGATTATGACTTGGTTCGACAGATAAGAATGAAGATACTCTGTTTAGACTGGGATGTGAAGCTTGTTGATATCTCCGCCAAGACATCCAAGAATAAGAAGGTCAATCGAGTTGCCGATAAACTCGCCAACAATGCTCGTAGTCTGCCTTGCGATGGTCTCTGCGAGGAGTACAGTCATCCACCTGATAATTGTGTCGGGTTTCTCCAGCAGGATAAGATGGGTGTGTGATCAGCTTCTAATAATTTTACAAAACTAAGAAGACCAAAATCAATTACCATCACATGGATGTGGAACGAAATTGAAGGCACTTGTGTTCTTCAACTAGTTTTATGTTTATGAACATGGAATTGATTTTATGGAATAATAACATCTTACCCAGGTTTGTGTGTGTTAGTTTTTTCTTCTTTGTTGAGACATTGGATGTACTAGTACTATCCTTTCAACCAGTTTGAATGTACTGAACTTGTTTACTTATATTATGAAATATTTTGCATTACTTTCCTTGGTTATGTTAGGAAAATAGAGGAATGAATGCAAAAGAAGCTAAGATTTGCTGTAGTACAGTTTGCACTTATGAACCGTCAATCTTTTTGTGATGTTATTAGCCAAACTTTTTGATATTTCTTCTGTGAGAATTATTCGATGAAATCATATAGAATAAACTGTCAATCTGACCAATCCAAGGAAGAACACTACCATTAAAATGGTTCCAAGACTAGTCAAGAGCTACCAACTTCCTGCGATTGGATAACCAAGAAGGAATATGGTCTTTAAGACCACAATTTCCTAGTGCTAAAATCATAAGACTATGAAATCCCACTGTTACACTTTTCCAAGGAAAATTTAAGTGAAGATACAAGTGGTGAGATTTTTGTACTGCTACAAATAGACAATGTCCAAGATAAGTTCTCAACAATGTTGTTTGACAAGGATGCAAAGGAAAGTGAATTGAGGTTTGCTAGAGAACTATCACGAAAAGTGTAGCAAGGCTTCACGAAGAGCGAAAATCAGAGAGAATCGGAGAAAATAAAAATAATTGCAAAACATTTCAACACTTATTATGTAAAATAACTTAGTCCTTATAATGTCAAAAAAAAAAAAAAAAAAGTGTCAACCGCTGCATGCGTTAATGTTTACATCAATAAATTAACAATGTTAGTTAATATTATTATTGAATAACTAACGTGAAAATCAAATCTTATTTTTAAAATATTAATATTAAATTTTGTTGTTTTTAAGAACCCATAAATGTATTCAATTCTAAAAAGGAAGAAAAAAGAACATGTAGGAGAAAGATGAGGAGTGAGTTGAAATATTCTAACAAATAGAGGAAAAAGAAAAGTGTGATTTTTTATTTTATATTTTTTATTAAGAGACAGTTTTTAATATTCGTGAGATTGTTTTTTAAATGTGTTTTTTCTTATAATTTTAAATTGTTAATATATTTAAACATTAATAAAATTAATTTTAAATTAAAGAAACATATCACATAATTTAAATATAAAAAATAAATTAAATTAAATTAAGAATAGAAAAACAAGCTTAATAAAATGTAAAAGATAAAATAAAACTAAATAAAAGGTAATCTACTCTTACTGATGATATTAACTGTGTTTACACACTTTTTTACTGCAAAGATTGATTTCCCTTTCTTATCCCCCATTTTTTTCCCGCCTTTTCCTCTTTCGGCACCGTTTCCGCATTTGTTTCGTTTGCAGATGACATCCCCATTTATGAGTTTAGCCTTTAATCCTTTGTTTGTTGTATTTTGATTTTCCATTCAACTGCTTCTTCGTTCCGAAGTTGCTGAGATTGTTTCACCCTTTGCTGATTTCGATTTTTCAGGTGCTGCATTTAACGTCGTTGCTTCTGTCAAAGTGACGACTTCTTTGCCTTTTCAATTTGATTAGGTGTGTGGACAGCGAGCCGCACCATGACACGACCCTTCTAAGCTTAATCACCTTTAACCTGAATAGGGATAAGCAAAGGAGAATTGTTAGTACCACTGCAAGAAGTCCACATCCAATGAGGATGAATTTGAGTTTTTTCAAACTTCTCCTAAAATGAGCAACATGGAGAGCCTTTACATCTGACCCAGACTCGAAGCTTTTGGAAGGGTTAAGCCCTGCAAGATTCTTATGAACATCGCTCAATTTAAAGATCTCCACACCATTCAAAAAAGCGGTATAGTACAACGGTTTAGTACCCTTGTTCGGGTGTAGGTCAAGCCATAATAAATAAATCTTGCTTTCCCTCATTAACATGGGGAACCATCACTGCAAAGTCTCGGTGTATGGCCAACCCAACTTTCTCACTTTCCTCTTCCACTGCCACAGGATTCACAGCCGGTCTTCCACAAAACACTTCAAACAAAACCACTCCAAATGAATACACATCAGATTTTTTTGTCAGTTTTCTTCTCATGTAGTACTCAGGGTCTAAATATCCCGGAGTACATTTAACCTCAGTGCTAACATGTGAGTGGTAAAGTGAGGGAACTGTTCTACACAACCCAAAATCTGCAATCTTGGCTACCCAATTCTGATCCAATAATATGTTGGCTGACTTCACATCACGGTGAATAACTGGGTGCCTTGTGCTAGTGTGGAGATAATGTAGTCCTCGAGCTGCACCAACACAGATCTTTTTTTGAATCCATGGCAATGGCTGTTTGTATTTCTTACATAAATGGTCACACAGAGGAACCCTCAACCATGTATTCATACACAAGTATCAGTTCATTTCCCTCTTGGCAGTATCCCAGCAGTGACACTAAATTCATGTGACAGAATGAGAAAATATTGATCTCATTTTGAAACTCTTTATATCTTTGGCGAGAACTACGATTAGAGCGCTTTACTGCAACAGGAGTAAATCCATCATATTGCATGATGCCTTTGTACACCTTTCCGAAGCCTCCCTCCCCAATGACAAGAGCTTCACTGAAGTTGCATGTAGCTATGCTGATTTCTGCAAATGTGAATTGATGGAAAAGACCTGAGGTTACTGTGGGTTGAACGTTTTTGAGAGTATTACTTGAATTTGATGGGAGTATATAAGAAGCCCACTTCAATTTTTTAAGTGATCTGCGGATAAGAATGAAAAATGTGAAGAGCAGTCCCAAAATGGTACCCGAAGTAGCACCAGCTACAATAATTGCATGTTGAACTTTCTTCTTTCTTTGTCCTCTTCTCAATTGCAACATTGCTGCAAGACTAAGATTGCTATCACTTATCTTCATGATCTCAATTCCATTCAGTATGGCATCAGCATATTTTGGTTTTGCCTCTAAGTTAGGGTGAAGTGAGATCCACAAATCTTTCCTTCTCCCACTCTCCGTAGGAACCATAACAACATAGTTCTTGTGTAAAGGAATAAATGGTGCTCCCGCCGAAGCAACTATGTCCATACTTTCCTCCGCAGTTTGGTGTTTATGTATACCCTTTGATGGACCATGTTAAATTGTACTTCATGCGTTGCCTCTATAGAGATCTCACAGAAATGAAGTCTGACAAGGTATTTGAATCCAGAGTCAACAGGGAAAGACCATGTTAAATTGTACTTCATGTTAGCATCTCCATTGCTTCCTATTGTCCTGGCCTTACTATATGTCTCTTCTGTTGCTGAATAAATGTAAGTATAAGTGGTCTAATTCATGCTAATAAGAGGGTAATATACACCAAGGACCCTTCCAGCTTGTGAACCACATAAATAACTAAAAATTTTCATCCTCAACTTTATATGCATTACGACCAATGCTAACTCGGTAAAGCATCTCAAGAGCGTATTCATCATTAATAAACAAAGGTTTATGGTGGCCCAGATAAGGAACGGGAACCTTGGAACCTGGAAAGTATACAGTGTGGGGCACTGGGAATGTCTCAATGCCATTTACAAAGGCAAATGCATTGGAAATTAAAGGAGATGGAGTAAATGTAATGTTCAGTTTGTCTTCCCTAACATCGACTAAGAAATCCTTGGTGAAAAACATCAGGTTGAGCTCTTCCGCAAAGACAGAAGGATTAAAATCACTTACAAGAGTGTAAGGACCAGCTTTTACAGAGAAATAAGCCCTGGAGGGGTTCACCACCAGATACGAAGATGAGATAAAGTAAATGCGAATGAATTTAAGGCCAGGTGAGAAAGGGAATGGGTAGGTCAGAGGAGAATGAGTAATTCTTGCTGTTGAGTATGGAACTTTTGGTGCTAGAGAGTCTTCCATGTTTGAGAGCAAGACTGTAGATGAGCTCTTATCATATTCTGGAGGCAAGAAATTCGATCCACTTTCTCCCATCCAATTTTCTCCATTGAATGATCATGCTGTTAAGTTACAACATAAAATCAATTCACACTACTAGAGTAGCCTAATATTGACAATATTTAGAAAAGTCTAATATTTACAATATCTAGAATAGTCACTAGTGGAAAAATAACATTCTATGACGAGTTTTTATCACGGTCGTAGTCCACCCGTTATAGTATGTAGCGCGGTGACAATTTTGTAATAAAATCATAAACTTTCTATGTGGGGTAAATTTTAACCGACATAGTAAGTGGAAAGTTCACTTTCTATGTCGGTTAAATGTTACCCGACATAGAAAGTTCACTTTCTACGTCGGGTAAGATTTACCCGACATAGAAAGTTCACTTTCTATGTCGGGTAACATTTAACCGACATAGAAAGTTCACTTTCTATGTCGGTTAAAATTTACCCGACATAGAAAGTGTCTTTGATGACGGGTGTTAGGGCAACCGACATAGTATCTTCTGTTTTACCCTGCTCCAACGCTCCATTTCATGTCATCACTTCACCCATAGCAGAGCTCCCCGTTCGCCTGTGTACGTTTCTCCCTACGCTCCATTTCATTTCATCAGTTCACCCATAGCAGAGCTCCCCGTTCGCCTGTGTACGTTTCTCCGCACCCACATTTGCTCGTCACGCCACCTGCCAACGCTGTACGTCGTGCCGCCTGCTGCTACTGTCATTGGTGCTCGTCGCCTGTGATACGTTTCTCCCCACCCGGCTCTGCACGTCACGCCACCTGCCACCTCTCACTAGTGCAGAATAGGGCTTTTACGTCACCCAATTGTCGTCCCATGCATGTATATTCGACGTAAATAAAACGCGGTGGCAATTTTGTAAATATGGGACAAAAATTTTACGTCGCACATCCCAGAATGCGACGTAAAAGGCCATCTTTTACGTCGCGCCCTCCAGGTGCGACGTAAAAGATGGCTTTTTACGTCGCGTGCTGGGATGCGCGACGTAAAAAGTCTATTTTATTTCCCTCCAGACCCACTTCCTCGTCTCGCGCAACCAGGGTTTTTGAGAACGACGACGAGAACGACGACAACATCTACCTCTGCAAACCATTTTCGAGCAGTTTTACAGTGAAAAGCATCTACATTATCGTGTCATTTGTCGAACTTGGTCTTTCTGCCCGATTGGAATCGAGTTTGAAATCAGTTTTCGTCTACACTCGAGGTTAGTGTTCTATGTCCCGTGATTGTTTTTGGGGATCTCAATCACGTTATAGTATGAATGTCTCCACTGCATTGTTATTGGAATGTAATTATTTGTTTATTTGTTTGAGTGCATTCGGTTTACACACTCCATTGTTGTTGGAATGTGATTTGTTGTTTGTATATTAATTTTTTTTACATATAATTTTTAAATCTTTAGGAGTGACGAAACTTTATAACATAATATGAATCGAAGTTGGATGAATGCACGTCGTATTAGTGAAGAATACGAAAAGGGAGTTGAGAAATTTTTGAAATTTGCTAGTGAGAATGGAAAAGCTATGAAAGGGACATATTATTGTCCATGTGTTCATTGTTTGAATCAAATTCGTCATAAACTTGAGGATATACGTGATCACTTGTTTGTTTATGGTATTATTAAGAGTTATACAATATGGACATGGCATGGAGAAATATTAGACATCCCAACTGTGTCAACTACAGACAATTTTGATGAAGGGATGGATGATAATCTAGAGGATATGATACGTGATATTGGTGAAGAAAATTTTATGAAAGCACATCTATATGATTCTTTGAAATCTGATTTTGCGCAACAATTGTACATAGGATGTAGTTTTACAAGATTATCAGCAACTTTAAAATTGTTTACTTTAAAAGCAAGAAATGGATGGACTGATAAAAGTTTCACCGAATTATTGGAGTTGTTGAAGGAGATGCTTCCTGAAGATAATACATTACCTATTCGTAACTATGAGGCAAAGAAGATATTATGTTCAATGGGTTTAGAGTACAAGAAAATACATGCATGTCCTAATGATTGTATATTGTACAGAAAGGATTTTGCTAAATTAAAGATGTGTCCGACATGTGGTTTGTCGAGGTTCAAAAACAAAGTTGAGGAAAGTAGTGGTGAGGAAGAAATAGATGGTCCCCCTGCTAAGGTGTTATGGTATTTGCCAATTATACCTAGGTTTAAAAGATTATTTGCCATAAAAGAAGATGCAAGAAACTCGACATGGCATGCAAATGGTAGAAAATGTGACAATCTTCTTCGACATCCAGCTGATTCTCCACAATGGAAAAGGATTGATGAAACCTTTCCAGAATTTGGTGCAGAACCAAGAAACTTGAGAATTGGATTAGCTACAGATGGGATGAATCCTTATGGAAATTTAAGTAGTAAACATAGTTCATGGCCGATTATGTTGATCATTTACAATTTGCCTCCTTGGTTATGCATGAAGAGAAAATATATGATGTTATCTATGATGATTTCAGGACCTCGACAACCAGGAAATGACATAGATGTATATCTTAGTCCTTTAATTGATGATTTGAAAATGTTGTGGGAAATAGGAGTGAATGTATTTGATTCATATCACGAAGTGAATTTCAGGTTGCGTGCAATGTTATTTTGTACTATAAATGATTTTCCAAGCATATGGTAATTTGAGCGGTTATAGTGTGAAAGGTCATTTAGCGTGTCCTATATGTCAAGAAGACACAAGTTATATCCAATTGAAACATGGACAAAAAACTGCGTACAATAGGCATAGAAAGTTTCTAGTTGCTAATCATCCATATCGTAAAATGAAAAAAGCATTTAATGGATGTCGGGAGAATGCAGTTGCATCAGTACTCACGCAATGGTGAACAAGTATATGAACAAGTGAAAAATATTAATATTGTGTTTGGAAAGACCCAAAAGAAATCCACCGAGAAAAACATTTGGAAGAAACAATCTATATTCTTCAATCTTCCTTATTGGTGTAAGTTGGAAGTTAGACACTCGTATAGATGTGATGCATGTTGAAAAAAATGTTTGTGATAGTATAATTGGGACATTGCTTAACATAAAAGGAAAGACAAAAGATGGAATAAAAGCAAGACAAGATTTGGCGGACATGGGTATACGTTCGAATTACATCCACAATCAGCTTGGAAAACGCACTTACTTACCTCCAGCTTGTCATACTCTATCAAAGAAAGAAAAGAGAAGCTTTTGTGAGTGTTTACGTGAGGTCAAAGTGCCACAAGGATACTCCTCAAATGTTAAGAGTCTTGTGTCTATGCAAGAGTTGAAATTAGTTGGTTTAAAGTCTCATGATTGTCATGTGTTGATGCAACAACTTTTACCAGTGGCTATTCGAAACATCTTACCAACTTCGTTAGAATTGCTATTACTCTGTTATGTTTGTTTTTCAACGCCATTTGTAAAAAGGTAATTGATCCAAAAAAGTTAGATGAATTAGAAAATGAAGCAATTGTGATAGTGTGCCGGTTAGAAATGTATTTTCCCCTTCATTTTTTGATATCATGGTGCATTTGATAGTCCATTTGGTAAGGGAAATTCAATTATGTGGTCCAATTTTTCTTAGATGGATGTATCCTGTTCGAGAGATACATGAAGATCTTAAAAGGATATGTGAAGAATCAAGTACAGGCCAGAAGCTTCTATTGTGGAAAGGTACATTGCAGAAGAAGCCATTGAGTTTTGTCAAGGATACATGTCAAAATCGGAACCAATAGGTATTCCTAAGATGAGACATGATGGAAGATGTGAAGGTAAGGGTACTCGAAATTTGAAGATTAAAAATGTTAGTCTGAAAGAAGTTGACCAAGCACATTTATACATATTGAACAACACCGATGAAGTAATCCCTTACATATCACAACACATAACCGAAATAAAGGCAACACATCCACGAATGAATGAAAAATGGGTATTGAATGAACATAACAAAAGTTTCCTTTCTTGGTTTAAAAAAGGGTATATGTTGAGATTAATGCTTCGAAACACTTCTGAGACTTGCTCGTGGGCCTAATAGTGATGTCATTACATTTGGTGGGTATGACATTAATAACTATTGTTTCTACTCAAAAATAGAAGATGATAAAGGTAGAGTACAAAATAGTGGGGTCACAATTCAAGCTGAATCTATGCATTTTTCTAGTTCTAAAGACAAAAATCCTATCACAGACTTCTATGAGTTATTTTGGGGTCATACAAGAGATATGGGAAATTGATTATGTTACTTTTAGGGTGCTCGTCTTCAAGTGTAAATGGGTTGAAGGGAATACGGGTGTGCGAACAGATGACCTAGGATTTACTTTGGTTGATTTGAGTAAAGTTGGGTATAAGGATGAACCTTTTATTTTGGCATATCAAGCGAGACAAATATTTTATGTCAAGGATCCATGTAATGAGAGATGGTCAATTGTCCTAGAAGGAAGAAACATGCACGGAATTCATGAAGATGAGTCTCTAGATATACATGAAACACCTTCATTTTCAAGTAGACCATTTGATGACATAGTTGACAATGAAGTTGATGACATACATGCAATTCGAAGTGATCATGATGAAGGGATATGGGAAAACATACCAACATAATAGGTGTTTATCTTAACATTTTCTAGTTCTTTTTATTCAAACTTATAAAGTATGTTGACTTAATATTGTTTTGTTTTTGAGGATATGTCGGATTCCACAGCTTGGTACTGGTAGTGGTAGTGGCGGTGGCGGGAGCGGAAGTGGTGATAAAGGTAGATCTGTCACTCGGTTAAAGGGGTTGACGACAAGGAGGGTAGCTAGAGAGAAAACTCAAGTTGAAGTTGATCCACGTTCGGTAAGGCATCCGGCCCAAATGCTTGCTAAGTTTAAGAGCTATTTGGGACTACTAGCTCGACACCATGTTCCGATTACTACTCCATCTTGGGATGATGTTGAGGAAACCGAGAAGAACCTCATGTGGCGGGATGTTCAGGTATTTCTATATTTGTTGAATACTTTATATATCATTATTA